CCCCCCGCTTTTTTTATATTGAGGGAGTCTCTTCAAAAATATTTCAAGAGAATGTATATTTCAGGTGTCTTAACCAAGATTAACACAGCTACGTGGAACGGTGTTGGCGAGAATATTTTATATTGTTTGTGTGTGTTACGCACAGGTGTCAAATCCTCAAGGCAGTTTGTTATTTTTTCTATCTATGCAGCTTGCTGGCAGCTTTCAGCCCCTTGAGTTGTTTCCATATTCCCCAAATAAAGGGAAGGTGTGAACGGCTCCAAACAGTGAAAGAAGATTCCACATGTTTCAAAAAAGCAATTGAGACGGGAAAAGTATTTTCTATAGAGCACTTGTCACTAGAAGCCAGAAGCTGAGGGTTTATATTCCTTACTCCTCTGCGTGACTGTTAGATGAATAATCTAACAGCTCTGTGAAGTCACCTGCTCCCTTTGCATAAGATGCTTACATTGAAGGTTATTATTTGTGTTTTGCTTACTTATCTATGTAGTTATTTTGCTTGTTTGTCTTCTGGGGTGCACTGTTGAGGTAAAACTTATTTCAGCAACTAAACAGCGATTAAGGTGGGAAGTTATGATCCTTCACTGAGCACGACACCTGCAAGTGAGCTGTGAACTCAAGCAAGGCCTTATCAAGCTGCTAGGTTGATTGGTTGTTTTTGTTAATGCTGCTATATTAGGGCTGGCCTGTTACAGTAGTGCATTTGTTGCTCCCTCATGTGCCACCTGTGACATTGGCAATGCTACTGAATCATTCTCCGTTATGCCTTCTGAAAACTTCTGCAGGCTTCTGTCCTGTTTGAGAAACAGTTGAGATGCACCGCTCTTAAGAGGCCTTTTGTCACAGGTGCATCTGTCAACAGAGACCAGAGGTTTTTCTTCAAATTAGGAAGGCCAGATTATATGAAAGATACAGATTTGTTTTAAAAAAAACTTGTTTTTCTTGCTTGTTGATATGTGGTTAGCGCTCTTTCTCCAGTAATTAATGTTCATCTAATTCTTTTTTTGAGGTATTTATTGCACAGTCGAGAGCTTCCGGAAGCCACCGAGATGTTGAAGATGAAGAGCTTACACGAATCTTTGTTATGATACCAAAATCCTATACAGAGGAAGATCTGCGAGATAAGTTTAAGGTACTGATTCAGTGTTTGTTGATCATTATCTTAAACTAGATTTCCTTAGTTTAGGAGACGAGCTTAAAGCATAAAACTTTAATGCATTTTCCTTTATTGTAAATTCATACCGTTTTTAATTGTTCTAGATGTACGGAGACATTGAATATTGCAGCATTATTAAGAACAAGACCACTGGAGAAAGTAAAGGTTTGGGCTATGTGCGATATTTAAAACCATCCCAAGCTGCCCGAGCGATTGAAGAATGCGATCGAAGTAAGGATCTGACTGAATTCTTCCAAGTTTCTCACAATAAGTGTGTATAGTCATTAGTGTACCTTCTAATCTTCAGTTTTGTTTGCAGATGAATTATTGTGTAAGCACCTCTTGAGCCAAAAGTTACACTAGTATTGCAAATGAAAAATAGTATTATTAACCTTTGTTGAGATTAGTCACCTGATCACATTCTTGCAGGACCAAACTCTCCAAGTAAGAATAGTGAAAAGGGTTTGGAAATGGATACAGAGATTTCTTTCATGTGGTACTATCAGTCTCTAATGTAGACTCCATGCACAGGAAAAACCTCATGTTAATATATCCCTAGGAGTGTGCATGTTTTATCAAATATATGCATTCATTTTTATATGAAATATATAAAAATATATTTGATAACCCATAGAGATACTGTTGCCATTACATTTATTTAAAATCAAATTAACGCTAATTGAAGATTTGTTCAGTTAAAGTCAGGATTCAATCTTTACAGAATAAAAGACTGTATGCTTTGTGATTTGGCACTTACTCCCTAGTACAAAAAAGATGTTGATGAACTTCAGTGAATCCAGTGGAGGACACAAAGGTGGTCAGGGGGCTGAAGTATGTGACCTGTGAGGAGGAGCTGAGAGACCTAGGCTGGCACATCCTGGAGAAGAGAAGGCTTTTGGCAGGAATGGAATAGCAGCCTTCAGCTACTTAAGGTTACCCAGAAGATGGAGCCAGGTTCTTTGCTGAGGTGCATGTCAGGAGATTGAGAGGCAATGGGCCAGGTTACAGCTTAGTTATTTTCTTAAAAGCAGCACTTACTGGGTTTTCCGAATAACATGTTTCTAAATACTGTTCAAAGCATGCAAATCTGGTCATACGTACCTGAGGTGTGCTGAAGCGTTGCTCTATGTGTGGTTGTTTCTTTCAGGCTACCGGGCCATTTTGGCTGAACCTAGAAATAAGTCATCTGAGTCCTTTGAACACGAATATTATAGTAATAGCAATCATTCAAGGCAGGAACCACGAGGAAATATGTTTCCACTTGGTAAGTTCTGTCTTTTTATGCTAATGATGGTTTATAGACTTGAATGTGGTCACAAAGTGAGAGTGCAGTTTGGATGAAGAAAGGAAGCTGAAAGAGGCTCTGATCAGTACTTCAGTAATAGATTGGGTGTTTGGGTTAGAAATTAGTAAGGATGTAACTTCTATGTTTTTATGACTGGATTTGCACTAGTTGGCTTATTATTTCATCACCTGCATTGATGAAATAAGTCCTGTTACCTGCTAGTATAAATTTAAATTGATTTGCCTTTAAAAGTTGACTGTAAAAAATATGGATGAAATGAAGGCATACCAGTGTGATGACTTACGCTATCTATTTCTATGTTGATTCTTGAGGTGGGCAGCCAGAGTTTTGTAGTTTTGAAAAAAATGAGAGCAGAAATCAGGAGTCAGTTTCCAAACGTCTGTCAGTGGTATCACGGCTTCCTTTTGTCCAAGAGCAGCTGTCTGCCCTCTTTGATCTAATCCCAGGACTGGAGTACTGTGATATTCAGAGAGATCCCCATACTAATAATGGTAAGTAAAAGTACAAAAAACGATTTTCCTTTTTTTAGGAGGGGAGAAGCATTTTTAATTGTACTTCTGTTCATTGGTATTGCAAAATACAGTGCACTTGTAGAAAAGAATTAACGTTTTACGTGTCAGCAGTTATTGCTATCACTGATACGTAACCCCAGAAATTCAGTTTTGTTCGAACCCTTGTTTACAAATAGCCTTAAATACTTACCTTCTTTTATTGTTATTTCTTTTTTTCCATCCAGAAGATTGAATCTCAAGAAGGACAGAATCAAAACCATCAGAAATAGTTGTTATGGTCAAACAAGTTTTGAGCTGAATGAAAGGAGAAAAAAAATGTTGAAAATGATTAGACATGTAGTACTGTTCTCTAAATGGATCTTTTGAGTTTTCATTTGAAATAGCTGGCTCTGTGTGCAAAGGATTGTTTTGGTTTCAGGCTTTGTTTTTCTTGTTTTGTTATTGCTGGAAAAAATGCAAAAGAGCTTTCTACTTTAACAAGCTTGAAATAAAAATCATTCAGAGAATCATAATGTAGCTTTATAGTACTTGAGATTCACTGTTAATGGAATAATTTAAAAATGAAACTCTGTATTTTTTCCTAGGACAGAGTTGGATAAGATATGGTTTTTTTATCTCTGTTGATTTTTATAAGTTTCCAGTAGAAAGGAGACAGTACCAGCTTCTCAAGCTACTGTAAACATAGCTGGTCTGTCCCCAGTTAATTCCATTGAATTTTTCTTTGCAAATGTTAGTGGTGTTGCTATTAAAGAACATGCTGTTTGGTTTTTTTTTTTTTTTAAAAAAAAGGCATTGGAATGTTGTAGCATCCATGACTAACGTGAAGCTTGATCATACTGCTTTATATGAATGTAGTTTGTTCTTCGGATATACATTCATCACGCTGAAAATATGTGCATTTTACTTCCAGGGTATGCTGTGATTCAGTATAGTACTGCTGCCTCAGCTATATATGCCAAGCATAAATTACATGGTTTTGAGTATCCTCCTGGAAATCGATTAACTGTCGCTTTCCTAGAAGATGGGAGTGATAGCTCAGAGTAAGTACCAATTCATACAGATAGAAAGTTGCAAATTGTATTCTGGAAAGCAAAACTTCAAAAGAAAAACATATTTGTTCTCCTTTTTAATATAAGAAGGAACAGCAATGTCGCTGCAGTGTGGTTTCGCACTTGTAAATAATATTTTCTGAAATGTAGGATTTTTTGTATAATTTGAAATGCGCCTTTTGAAACTTCCACTACTTTTCTTTGACATAAGAAGAAAAAGATAAACTCTATATTCTTAAGATACATAGGGAAATCCTGAACTTGGCAAGCATCATCTTAAGTGTCTCTGTGATGTGCAGCAAGGCTGGAATTTTTTTTTAGTGACGCTTTTGTATTTAAAAACGGATTTTTATCTGCTTGATCCCTTAGTTGAATTTGGAATGCTATGGATATTTTTAAAACTTGGAATGTTCAAAGGGAACATGGGTAATTGGAGAACTTAAACTCTTGACCAGTACAATGAAAATACACCTCATCTAAAAGATTTTATCACATAACTCTGAAACTCTTTTAACAGCACTAGCAAAAAATTAAGGGGGGAAAAAGGACTTTTGAACAAAAGAAAATTGACAAATCCAAGCACAACACTTATTTTTTCTTCTGCAGGTCAACTTTATTGCATAACTTGGCCATATGGAAGTATGCTCAGCCTACATTAGCAGGGAGGGTAGCCTAATGAAACACAACTGTAGAGTAAAATTGTTGGTGCTGAAGGTCTGATATCCCCGCTCCACAGGTTTCAAAGGGTTTTATTTTGAACCATCTGTGGTCTGTGCCTGTGATCTGAATGCCCATTAGAAGTTGGAGTGCATTAGGTGTATAGAAGTTGGAGTGCATTAGGTGTACTCCTTTAGTGAATCTTTTGGTTTAGTTTTATCCAACACAAATTTAGTTCATGCCGTTAGAAGCTATTCTGGGATGTGAACTAAAGCACAGTAGGGAGGGAAAATGGGGAGATTCACTTCAGAAATGCACTCCTGATCTAAACTAAAACAATTAGTTGCAACCAGCCTTTTTGTCAAGCTCTTTCTTTCACTCTTCAATAATTCCTATTATTTCATGGTCATATAATGCAGAAGTGCAATTCCTTTTTCTTTATTCTGTTGAGAGATAAGAAAGTTCTCAGAAAACAAGAGCTGGAAATGAACTTTCTGTATCTGTGATAATGTTACAACTTTTGAACTGATTCTCTGTGCTCTGTTTACACTAACAAGGATTTAAAAAGCCAATATTGGTTTTATTTTTACTTAAAAAAAATCTATATATGATAAGTTGGATTTTTTTTAGAAGAAATGCACATTTTAGATGAAGGCATTTCTAGGTCAAATACCTTTTTTTTTTTTTTTTTTCCTGTTTGTTCTTTATCTACTAAGGCTTTTTGTAGGTGAAATTTCTCTCTGTCCCTGCTATCTTAGATACCTTTCACAAAAAAAGAAAGAAATAGTTCTGTAGAGTTACTTTCCCCCAGAGTACTGAGAAATGGCAAAGAGCTCTATATGTAGAAATATGAGTGATTTCAGTGACTTTTAGGGCATGTCCGGAATGTCATGAACACCTGACTTTGATTTCTTGATTTTGTTTTTCCCCCCTCCTCCATTATCTATTTGAGTTTACAGATTTTTTTTTCAAAAATATTTTTAGATGTGCAAAACTTAATTCTTTTGCTGAATTTAAGATTATAGCAACTTAGCTTTTTTTTTAATCATTTATTATCACTTCTGCTTGCAGGCTTATTAGAAGAATGGCAGCAGAGCTGGTAACAGCGCACATGTCGTCACTGTTGTGGAATAATAATTCAATTTCTCAGCAGTGTAGGACACCTCCTGTAAGAATATTAACAGTATCCATTATATTAACTTATCTGCTTTAGGTGCTGCTACTTTTAAAAAAAGTACCTCTGGTTGGTTTGTGCATTATTGTTCTCTTTAAAGGTGTCTGACCTTATCTGGATTTATTGTCCAAATTAATGAAATTTACTTTAACCAAAGTAAACTAATGAATTAAGCTTAGAACTGTTAGATCCTGCTTATGTCCTGTGATTGCAACAAAAGTTGTAAATAGATAAAGTTGAACTTTTTCCTGATCAATTCATTTATATTTGCATTTTCTTTTTGTTTCAGCAGGCGTTTGGAGGAACTTCTGGCTCACAGTTACAGCCCCAAACAGATGCCATACTTCCACCGCACAAAAAAAAAGTTCCACCTGACAGTTCTGTGAAGGAAAGGCTTTTCATACTATTCAATCCCCATCCTTTACCTGTAAATGTATTGGAGGACGTGTTCTGGTAAGATTCCATTACAAATAAGTGACTTTTAGCTAGAAAAATAAGCTGAAAATAATTAAAGTAAATGCTGAAAGTCAGAAAGGTTGTTATTGTGAGAGTTTTTTCCAGAAAAGATAGCGTACAGCGAAAATAAGTGATCAGTAAATAACAGTTGGCGTTGAAACAGGCATGTAATGAAATTGACTTAGAAAAGTAGTTGCAGCACTAATCGCTAATAAACCCGCTATATTGATAACGCGATCTGAAGTAAAATATCTAGTCTCAATCCTTCCCCCCGCCCCGCCCAAAATCGTAGTTCCTCTTTTCAGTGTAATTAATTTGACATTTCCCTGTCACATATTTTTGTAAGGAATTTAAATATCTTGAGAAATTTCTGCAGTAACTTCAGGGAGTAGTCTTAGGGAGTGTTTTTCTGAAATGATTAAGTCCTGAGATATTTTGATGGTTTTCATTGTATTGACATTATTCCAACAGTCATTTCACACTAGTTAATACATATTAGTAGCAAAGATTCTTACTGCCTTTAAAAGAAATACATAGTTCACCTGTTTACCAGTATTTTGTATTATTTATTTTTAGTATACTCTGGAATAAAAAGACAATGTCCCCCTTCTCTAATAGCTCACATTGAAAATATTTTGGCTTTCCAAAGAATTATTGCAAAGTACCAGAAGGAGAAAAACAAAACAACATGGCCTTGTATGCAGTCTAAAACCATACCTCTTTGATGTACTAGATTTTTCTTAATTGGGTTCTGGAGAGGAAAAAGGCTGTAATTCCTAGTCTTGACATGTGAATAACTGTATAAAGTAAGTGATGTACAAACTTTCCCTTCTTTAGGTTTACTAAGGAACTGTCTAGGAAACCTCTGAGGACTCTGGGATTTTCTGTAAAGCTTTAATGCTTGCTTTGAGTCATTTCAGTGAGACCTTTTCAAAGATAGATCACAGCTGTGCAAGTTCATTTAAATGGGATAGACCCTGAATCATCTGGTTTGTTGGAGAACCATTTACTCTTTGTGACTGTGGTATTGGTTAGCTGTACGTTTTATTTTAAATAAGAGATAAATCACTGGTACCTATGATACTAGTTGTAATACACCACAAAAAACGTGGCCTGCAAACCCTTGGTTTTCTTTTTGTTCCTACTTGGCCTTACAGGGAAGGGGATAAGAAAATCACTCCTAGGGGAGGGCAGCCCAAGATATGTGTATATGCGTAAGCTTTTGGCAGCTACCAAATCACACGTGCTTGATATTGAGTTGTAGGTATCGGTGCTGCAGCAAAATCTGTAAGTAATAAATTGCTATTAATTCTCACTAATTTTGTTTTCAGTCGTTTTGGACACCTGATAAAAGTTTACCTTGTGGCTGGAAAAAATGTGGGCTATGCAAAATTTGCAGACAGAGCAAGTGCCAGTGATGCCATAACTGCGTTACATGGAAAGGTTGTGAATGGCGTCAGGCTTAAAGTAAGGTTGGCAGACTCGCCTACAGAAGAATCTAACAAACGTCAGAGAACTTACTGAGTGGGTAAGTACCCAGTCTGAGCTGTTACTTAATTTAAAGTTTGAATACTTGAAATAGCGAGAGGCAAAGTATTTCAAGTTAAATGTATCATGACATTTTTCACATTTGAACTGTAAAGTTGTTAGCTAGAAATATTTAGTTTGTGATATATGTGTATATATATTTGTGTGTATATATACACACACGTGCACAGTCTGTTTTAGTAAAAATCTTTATTTTTGTAATGTTTGAACAAATATGAGCCAGTTGATTGATATCAGTCTGGATGTTCATTATAATATTCGCTTTATGTACATAAGAGTGTCAGATAACATTAAAAAAGAGTATGGGAAAAATAAACAATATGACTGAGATCAGCTTGTGTGTGTCTTTCTTTCATTAGAAACATATACACCCTCACAGTGATAATGGGATAAGAGATTATCTCTGAAAAGGACAGGGAAAGAAAGGGTAAATAAAATGGACATGGGAAGGACAGGGGAGGTTGCCAGGTGAGAACCAAAGGCTTTGCAGATTTGGGTCATCTGGACTGTTAGAGAACACATAGTTGGAATAGATGATGGTGAAGAAAACTTCAACCCCACAACAAGCTCTGCAATATTTTGTTTCGCGCATACTTCGCACAATGTCTGAACATGAGAGGTCATACTTGTTCTCTTTGTGAATTAATTAGCTAATGCTTTTGGCCTATGGTAGCTTGTCTGTTGGCAATGTCACTTTATTACCATTAAGTTACGAGACTGATCACATGGAGGTAATTTTACAGACCTTAAAGGCCAACATTTGATTGTTGTTTTAAGACATTGGTTTGATTCAAATGATAATCAAATTTATCTACTGTTAATACTTTTCACATTAGGACCATTATCAAAGAGAAATCTGGTTGGGGAGATGGGAGGAAATGTTAAGTACTTTTTTTCTACAAAAGAACTTCCAAATATTACCATTATTTCCAAATAATTTTAGTAGTCCTATTCTCATTATAGGAAAAATGCAGTCTTGTTTTCTGTATTCAGAAAACATCACATGAAATCCTGACTCGGTTCACATCAGTATTTTGCTTCTAACTCTGTTTCACTCCTTGTGTCTTTCTTGGTGTAGAATCCTCTGCTCTCTGTGACCCAGGACACAAGGAACAAAACAGATTTCACCTGCAGTTTTCTTTTCCTTTTTTCCTTTTTTTAAATTCCTTTAATAATGACTTTTATATTGTTCCTTGATATATGCTCCTTGAAGCAGCAGTTACTAAAGGATTTTTTAGCCTTTATACATACAAAATGTTTTTTAAAAAAAAAAAAAA